AGACCTGGATATTTTCATTCAGATTTTTATTACACGATTTGAGATTTACGGTTACGGTCAAGTTCCGAATATTGAAATATTTTGGTGTCATTTTTCAAATCGTCAGTTGTCAAAATTTTGCAAAATTGAAATATTTCCCTAATGTTGTAACAGACCAGAAAATTCAAAAGCTTATCACCCCCTCTCAAAACTTGAGGTTTTCAGGATAAGTAGAACTCGACAATCCAATAAAAAAAAATTGCTGTCCACAGTATGCGACTTTTCTCAGAGACTACTGGACCTATCTTTTTGAGAGATGTGGAATCAAACTCGCCGATAATCCTCTTATCTCGACATTACCATTAGCTTTTTCCTTTCAAGATGGCGGACGAAAAATCTGTGTTGGTATAGACTGTTGTGCCTCAACGAATGTTCATATTTCAATGAAACTTTTTTTTTTTTTTTGATGATATTTACAAATGCATTACAAATAAAAATACATTCAGTAAATGTGAACAAAGGAATAAAATAGCATGAAATCACATGTTGAGAAACTACCCATTGGTAGCACTCTAAAAATGTATTTACAAAAGGAGATCTCGAGGCCATCTTCTTTTCAGACGCTCCTGAGGGTTGTCAGGGATCGAAGAGGAAGCAAGGTTAGAAATGAGAGGGTTTGTATGGTTCTGAAGTTTGTTATGGAAGGATAGGTATCTGGATTGGGCCAGGTCAGAAACATAAGGAACATTAAGATCGTTATGGATGATTTTGTTTGTGACAAACTAAGGAGCAGTGAGGATTTTACGAAGGATTTTGGATTGTAAGGATTGGATACGAGAGGAATTCGATGGCTTAGTGGAGCCCCAGAGCTCAACTCCTTAAGTCCAAATAGGTCTTATTGCAGTCATGTATATGAGTCTTTTGTAATTGACTGGGAGGTTAGAGCGTTTGTCTAGTAAGTGCTGGAGTAGTCGGAAACGTCGAGCTGTTTCTTGTCGTTTCAGTCTGGTATGAGGATTCCAAGTTAGACGTTTGTCTAAGTGGAGTCCAAGGTATCGAATTTGTTCAACAGGGTTAAGTGGGGTATTATTAAAGGATACTGTAGGACAAGATGAAATAGGTTTACAAAGAAGGGTAAAGGTGATTTGATGGGATTTATTTTTATTCTCTAGTTTTTACACCATTCTTCAAGGTTTGTGATGTGTGATTGAAGGGTTTGGGATGCAATTGTTGGGTCGTTATTAACTGATAGGACACATGTATCATCGGCATACGTGGTAATGACTGTGTTAGGATGGGTTGGGATATCAGCTGTATAAACTGTGTAAAGGATAGGATCTAGGATACTACCTTGAGGAACACCAGCGGACTGGGAAAAAAGGGATGAATAGGCATTATTATGATTTACTTTGAAGGATCTATCAGTAAGATAGGAACGGATAATGAGGAAGTATGTAGGGTGTAGGAATTTACGGAGTTTGTAAAGCAGTCCTGGGTGCCAGACTCGATCAAAAGCCTGTTCTACATCGAGAAAGACTCCCGTGCAGTACATTCCGCGCTCCAATGCAGAGGAGACAACATCCACCACACGATGGCATTGCTGGATAGTGGAATGGGATCTGCGGAATCCAAATTAATGATCTGGGATAATGTGATTAGAATCTAGGATGGGGTAAAGGCGTTTTAAGATTAGTTTTTCCAGGATTTTTCCCATGATTGGTAAAAGAGAGATGGGACGGTAAGAGGATGGATATTCTGGTGGCTTTTTGGATTTGTGAATCATTTTGACAATAGATATTTTCCAAGGGTCAGGAAAGTATGTGGATCACAGTACAGCATTATATATATAAGTAAGGAATAGAATGGCTTTCGGAGGAAGCAGTTTTAGGATCTGGGATGTAATTAGGTCGTGTCCAGGAGCTTTTCGGGAAGGTAACCTTTGAATGATGTTGGATATTTCTGAAGGATGAAAGGCTTTAGGTGGAAGAGACATTTGGAGTGGGATATCCAGTTCTGCTTCAATACATTCGAGGGGATTATGTGTTAAGAATATCGGGGTGTGGATTAAAGGTTTTAAAGAGGTGATGAGCAAAGATTTGTGATTTTTCTTCATCGGATTTGGACCAGGTTTGAGCTTCAGTAAGAAGTGGATGATTACAGTCTTTAAATTTCAGGAGCCTTTTAGTGGTCGTCCATAGTGATTTGTCGGTAGGTGTAAGTTTTTCAGTAAAATTTAGTAAATTTTTAATTTCAGATTTTAGTTTGTTAGTCAGTTGGGTATAATGAGTTTTATCTGTTGGATACTTGGTTCTATGCCACTTCGATCTTGCTCTGCGTTTTTCCTTCAATATCAATGAAACTTGGCTAAGGTCTTTTCATGATGCCCTTTAAATTTATTTATGTAACATACTTTTCCTAAAAGAAGCAGTTAAAATGTTATGAGGGATGGTAAAATTAATATCGTAAAATTTTACGGTTTATTAAAAAATAAAAACGTTGAAATTTGACAATTTGGTGCAAAGTTAAAAATATTTTCCTTATGCTCTACTGCAAAGTCCTTTGTTTTGGTTTTCGATTTTTGGAAAGTATTACATCAACTGAAGGAATCAGAATTCTTATCTATTTTTTTCAGGAAATTAGAGATGAGAAAAGAAATATATTTAGGCCAATATAGAAATCATCTTTTATTTACTTTCTTTATGTAATAAGGAAAGTAATTTTACATTTGATATATAACTGTTTGGAAATAATAAAGCATTGTTTAATAATTGCAGCGTTTTCATCTTATGTAATTTGAGTTGATTGTTTATCTTGATATGGCTCGGAAATTTTAAAAGCTTCCATAGCTTATAATATAGATAATTCTCTGAAAATTTTTCACACAGATAGGGACCAATTTCATAACTCGATGTTCTTCAATCCATTGTTAAGAAATGTAAAGCATAAATAGCAAAAAAGTGTATATCTGATTTCAGATTCATTTAGTAGTCAAACAAAACCACATAATACATAACTAAATAAATACTACCAAATAAATCTAGGTTGTTATTGTTGATTAACAAAGTTATATAAAATATTTTGCAATCCTTTTCGCTGAAGTTACTGAATTCTTCGGATGTGTGAGGATTTGGCAGGGTCCTACAAGCTCTCATATTTCCATGAAAGTATTATTTGTACTTTTTCTATCATTTGAAACATCTGACAACTTAGCTGTTAACAAAAATCCAAAGCTTTTTTGCAGTTTTTTTTTTCAGTTTGATGAGAGTGATCAAAATCTTTTTATTTTAGTATTTGGAGTCATTTTAAAATACACCTCAAAGCAAGATCCGTAATAGATAAAATATAGCAAATATTTATGCAAAACACTTGTAATAAACTAGAGAATAGTAAATATAATGGGAAATATAAAAATGTATAGTTTTTAACTTTAACACATTTGCATAAACTTCCTTTATTTATTTATTTATATAATCAGAAATACAGTGAAATATTATAATAGAAAAAAAATATCTCATTTCAATGAAAAAACCATCAAATACTTAATAACACCATTTTGTTGAACAATAAATTAATATTTCAAATATAAATGTTTGAGATGGTCAAAAACTATTGAGAAGTAATTAAAACCCCTCCTTTTGATTGAAGTCAACTCACCACGCTAACATGCCCTTTATTTGCTGCAAAATGTAATGCAGTCTCTCTGTCAGCATCTCATAGGAGCTACTTGGTCAATTAGAAGCTTCACCAAATCCAAATGGTCATCAATAGATTAGTGGTGTTCGGCCCAAATTTGAAATAACCGTTAGATCTGCTCCATGTTCCAACAGTAAAGTCACACCGCCAACTTGCCCTTTTCGTACTGCATAATGTAAAGCAGTACATCCTTCCTTATCCATATCATTGATAGGTGCTCCTCAGTCAATTAGAAGCTTCCCCATATCCAAATGACCATTAAGTGATCCTTCTATTAGTGATGTCCTGGCCAAACCCAACATTACTTTTAGATATGCTCCACTTCCTAACAGTAAATTCTCTAAACTAACTTGCCTTTGTGCTGCATAATGTAGAGAAGTGAATTTATCAGAGCCACTTTCATCCACTTTTGTTCTGGAGTCCAATAACATTAATGTAACCTCCTATAGAGGCAGAATGAAGCATTGTCAGACCTTCTTTATTCTTCAGTGTTGGATCTGAACGGCTGTACAATAAAAACTTAACTAGAATATTTGTCTATGATTTTGTCGGAACCATCAGATCAGTTTCATCATGATTATTCTGAATATCAACTCTTGCACCATGTTTAACCAGAACTTTTATTACATTCATATATCCTTTGGCTGAAGCTATATATAGAGCTGTTTCTCCTTTTCCTGTATTTATATTAACATCTACGCGCATCTCTAGCAGCACCTCAACAACTGATGGATCAGTAGCTATACCCTCATTCCTGATGTTTAATGGCACTCTTCAACCTTTCAATACTTTGAAAATTTTAGTTGCATTATTCAAACGAACTATCAAGTGAACTAATGTGATATTACTTTCAAATTGGAGATCTGGTAAAGTCCTAAATTTTATAAATTCTCAGAAAATATCAATATTACATGACACAACGGCCATGTGCAGAAGATACTGCATTAAATTCTTCTGCTATCTAGAGCTATTAGCATATATTTCCAGAAGGATATCCACCACCTTGACATTTTCTACTTTGAAAGCTAGCTGTAATGAAGTATTGTCCAGGTGGTTCCTTACATCGGGTTCAAGTCCTGCATTAGGTAACGTTCGTAGTGCTTCATTATTACCACAATAAGCCACAATATGGCGATAAAAGTTACCTCTCAGCCACTGGTTATCAATTTTAGAACCACCCAATATCAGTTCCTTGATATCTATGGAATGCTATTCATTTTAATAGCTTCCTCTATAGGAGTTCCACCAGAAATGTTAAGAACATCAATATCTGCCTTCAGAAACCACAGTACAGCAATAGAAGGTGCTCTGCCACTCCTTAGAGCCAAATGAAAGAGTCTTTCCAAGGACAGATTCAACCCAGTGACATTTCCTCTTTAATTGGCCAGTTCAATAATTTCACAAGGGATGCTGTTAGCCACAGCTTTTTTTTAAGTTTCAGCGCCGAATTGCCCCTTTTTTCTGTAAATATTAAACAACACTATATAGTCTAAATAATTTTATAATTCATATCTTGTTAGTGATAATATTAAATATTTAGTAACAAATATTCAAAATTACATCTCTAAAAGAAAAGCATATATAAACAGACAGAGATTAAATACTTAGTTTTGTTATTAATAAAAAAATATTACCTTTGTTTTGGTCTTGTGATTTCATGAATATATTTCAAAGTAAATAGCTATGTACTGAATTTTGTAACTAGTACTATTCCAGAAACTAAAATATAGAAGTTCCTTTTCTATACTTACTTTTGTTTACAGAAACGTGTTATTAAAATTTAATGTCAAATGCACTGTATATATTATTCAAATAATATTAAAAGGAAAAAACTGTCTTTGAAAATTGGTATTTCTTTACTAGCAGGCCGGGACTGACTGCTATCTGCCAATGTTTATAACCTGAACATTGATAATTCCGATAAGGCAGGGGTAAGCCTTCTTCTAATCCTATCTTCGTATTATTGTATTATATATTTGTATTATTGAAAATGTAAACAGAATCAAAAACAAATGTAATAAAAAAAAAAAAATACTTTTTTTTCACGACACATATATTAATGAAATAATAAAAAAAAAAAAACTTAAAGAAGATATGTACATATAAAAGATCAAAATGAAATAATAAAAAACACTTAAAGAACATATGTACATATAAAAGAAAAAATATCAACACTATGAACGACATATGTACAATTTATTTTCACTTCGTCTTATTTATTTTGGGAGTCAAAATAGTTTTATGCTATTTAAAATAGCGAGGAACGGGTTCTCTTCTTTGTGAACCCACTGCCACAAAAATTCGCCTAAATATGAAGTTTATTGAAGTTTTATGTCACAAGTGCTATGACAGCATCTCCATTTGGTGTTCCTGGTTAACTTCATTTGATGACCTCGTTCACACAATTTCACGTCTGCAAGTATCCCAACGTTTTGAAAATATTCAATAGCCTGTTCTTCTGAAGACAGTAAATCCCTGAAAGTGCCATTTTTCTGTCATATATTTGCCAATTTTTTAGCCTATGAGGTGCCTACAGCTTAAACAGATGAACGTAATTACTGCTTTAGTGCCTTTGTATCATTTTTACAATTCAAAGTATTATAAAAAATTTAAATTGGAAACAAGATTTCTTCTTTCACCTATATGGATACAAAAGTCTAATTTATGAACCAATCTTTTCAAAATTAAGCAAATATATTTGGTTCTAGATGTTTTAAGATATTATTCATTGTAAGGGAATAATTGTCTTCCAAATAAAGTAATAGAAACAAGAAACAGATTCTTAATATCCTTTTATTCTATTTTGGTGTCTTTTAATACTTCACTTTCTATTTTTTTAAAGTACCAATTTTCATCAAAATAGAGCTACAACAAGAAATAACTTAAAACAATTTTCACAGAGAAGATATTGCACGGTCAGCGGACTCAGCCAGACTCTGCAATTTTTTCTTTACATAATACTGTATATTTGTTTCCCCTGGTTTTAATGGAACAATTAAACTCTCTTCATCATTAATTTTTAAAACATCAAAACATTTTAATTGCCTGTAATCCAAAGGTGTGTTGCACTTTAGCAGAAACCACTTCAGAAATTATTTTAGAATACTTTTCTTGAGTAAAATAAAAATAATTGTCTTCTTGTTTACCTGCAATTAACTTTTCAAGAAAAAATCACGATTTACTGCAGTATAAATACATAAATTAATTCAGTATAAATTACAATATCGGAAAAATAATAATAAAGAAAATGTTGCTCGCATCATAAAAGCTTGCATAAGACTGACTCCCAGCAGAACAAAGGATTTAGCAGAGACAGCCAGTGGCTCCTCTCTTTTGGACCTCCACCAGAGCATATCTGTGATTGTCTATGATGATACAATGGTGAGGGTCTTAATATACAAGAATATAATGAAATATTCGATCTTCCACCAATGTATTTGGTACGTGTTGACATTCACCGGTGAAAGTCAACATTCTCCGATTTCGGTCTTTCACGGTACATAATGTAATATACACCTTAATTGAAAGTTGTTAAAAATGATTTAATAAATTAATGTTGAACAATTAAAAGGCAAGCTAATCTAGTTCTGCTAATTCAGGGAAAAGAAAATAATTGCACTGCAATTCCCCAAAAAGGAAAATCCCAAAGAGGGGATGGAACAAGGGATTTGTTTTGGCAAGCAGTTGTTGTATGGTTGCAGTGAAGAAAGGATAGGAGAAGGGATCCTGGCTCCAGTGGGTAAAACCCAGCAATAGTTTTACCATCTTGAAAGTTTTGTTAGGCAGAGACTAGTTATTTGGAATTACAAAAGAGAGGATCTCCTAGAGAGCTTGAGTTGAGTAGAAGAAAGTGTCACAATTTTTGAAGTTGTGTTTGGTAGAACATTGGAAAGCATTTAAAGTCAAATGAATTTAGAGCGAAAAAGGAAGAAATAGTATCTGTAGAAAAAAGAATAGCTTGCCGATTCATACTTAACTTTATTTTAAAATCAGTGTTTAATTTTAGTATAAATAGTAATAGATTTTAGTAATAAAGAATAATAGTTTGTCTGAGTGTTTTGCTCTGATTGTCAGTAACCCATATCTGAGATCGAATAATTGTAAATCCCAGTTAATTATATTAATATTCTTATAATTTTGTTTTTTTATTTACCAACCTCTCATTTCTTTTGGGAGTATCCCAACGGCACAAAGTGATCTTCCGAGGTTATATTACTAGTTTAAAATATAAGAAATATTATAATATATATTATATAAAAATGATTTTAGTGATCGATATATATATTATTTTACATATACAAAAAGGGGAATGACCGCAATGAAGACACCAGGCATTTTATTACCAGAATTATTTCTCCCTTATCACGGTTAAAGGAGTGAAATACAGATATTTTAAAAAAAATTAAATCTGTCCAAACAATATGTAAGGTGGTGTCAAGATAAAATAATTACTTTGACTCAGTACACCATGAGAACTAAGAATTTATTACTATAATAACTTTAACCCCACTAATCAAAGAATATAAACAAACATTTAAACCACACACTATACACAATATTTTCAATAAAGGAAGACTTTTTTTCCCTCCCCTTTTAGCCTAAAAGGTCTTTATAGACTATAAGAAGGCTTTTCCGGGGCAAGGGATTATGGGCAGGGGATTAATGCCTGAGTTAACTCCCCCTGGCACTGGGACACGATCTCGTACTTATTTTAACAAATTATATCTTTGATCAGGGCAACAACGGTGCTCTGCAAACCCATTATTCTGCTGGGCCACCATACACAATATATAACACAACACAATATACACTATTTACAAACAAATATTCTGTCTATCGTCTATGCTGCATCTAAACTTTTTTTTTATTGTATGCCAGGTTGTTTTAGAGGTACAACCAAACCTGTTTTAACCAGAGTGGGAGGGTCGAATTTTATTTTGTGGGTTCACAATGAAATAAAAGACGGCCGCCCAGGCCGGATTCGAACCGTCGTCGCTAGGCATGAGGGTGCTAGAACGGGCAACATTCCAACACACTCGGCCATCACGACTTTTGAGCTGCATCTTCACTGTTAACTCCTCTCAGTTTTCCCACCTAGGCAGTGTTACCCCTAGACCGTGTTATCATGAAACAAGATTCATTATCAGGCAATCCCCCACACTGGTTTTGTTCCATTAATTTTATGTAGATAAAAAATAATACAAGGGAATACCCTCTAGTATATATATATATATATATATATATACTAGAGTAAGATATATATATATATATATATATATATATATATATATATATATATATATATATATATATCTTTGTTGACCCACACTAGGTTTAAATCTCCCTCCTCCCATCCATGGAGCGATAAACAATAATGTAGGAGATTTCAATGCTTCTCTCACAAGTATCATTCACTCTAAAAACAAATAGAGGTTAAGCGAAGGCGCCTTAGTCACAGAATGAAATATATTGATATAGTGTGCATTTAAATATTCTTATAAAAATAAGAATTTACATTTTAAAAGTAAATATCAAAGATAAATTGTGGAAAACGTACTTTCAATTGCAGATCAATCTCATAGCTATCAGCGAGGGAAGAGAAAACTGTTAAGACTTTTGACTCTGGAACCAGTATTTCATCAGCTACCATTGCGTTTAGGCAAGTGATTGTCGTTTTCTGGAAACCTGAAGTCCTCCGTCAGCCAGAGTCCGATGTGCCTGACCCTTAATTGCTGGATGTAACTAGAGCAATAAGCCAGGATGGTGCAAGATTCCATATCTTGAGTTACTGAACAGTTGAGCAGAAACAAGAGAAGAGCCTACTGACTGGTGATCAGATTGCAATGGTACTATTCCTTAGCACTGAAGTTCAACCCATTTTCAAGCATGCTGTTGCTAATGTCAGGAGATTAATTGCTGACCAGTGTTTTCTGTTTGTGGATGACCAATTAACTCTAAAAAAAAAATTACATTGGTATTAATGTAGACTATATCTATTGAACATTTTAAGACATTATTTATAACATTATTTGAAATGTTAACTATATGATCAGACCCATCCTATTTTTCTGTTCGACCCTAATCATCGAATCAGAGTTAGTTATTTTTTAATGGTTACAAAAATTAAATCCACTCAAAAATCGGACAAAGCCAATACTTATTTATGACATAAATGATGAGAACCAGTCCAGGAAAAATAACAAATTTTATGTTCACTTTTGACAGGACTACAGCCTAAACAGATCAACTAAATGACTTTGAAATTAGTATTGTGTGCTGATATGAAGTATCAGTATTTGATTCAAAATATTTTATTTAATTTACAGAGATACAGCTTCTTGAGAAGGTTTAAAAAGAAAAAAAAATGAGATTTTTTTCCAGAGGAAATTCATTGAATTATTCACTAATTTAATTTTCTGAAAGCTTACATGATTTTTCGGAATAAACAGACGATAGATACCTAATATTTCAACATATCAGATCTACAGTTATTAAACTACAGTAAATGTATTTAAGGTTACATATTCATGAAATATTTTCATATTCCACTCTTTCTTTCACACAAATAGAATGAAATAGTATTTGAAACAATGGTATTGCCTTGATTCGGTGGGTTTTAAATACTTGATTTTCAAACTTAAAAAAAAAAATTTCAACGTTTACGTTTAGTAAGAAAATTCCATTTAATTAGATCTACGTTAAATAATGTTAATTTTTAGAAATTTTTATTAATATTTTTTTTGTCACTTTCCGTTACCTTCCACAACTTTGTTTATTAGATATTATTTTTTTCTGAAATTCTCCGCTTTCCAAAGATATATGCATACCTTCTGATTATTATTTTCGGAGATTCATTTTTGACCTGGGTAACCATTATTTTTTTTTCTTCTTTATTCAATTATCAAAAGTTATATTTAGCCCATTTTTTATAGTTACTGTCAATAGGAGAGATTTATTTTTTGAAATTAAACCAAATTAAAGGCACTTTAGAGGAAGACATATATGAAAAATGGGCATCTAAAAAAGGGGACATATATGAAAGACATCAATGTGGAAAAGACCTAGCTAGTATTAAAAAAAAAACTTTATAGCATACTGATATACTCAGTTTAATCAAAATCCTTAGAGCCGGTTTTGAGAAAATAGTGAAAATGTGTAATGTTGTTTATATAAAGTACCACTTCTAGTATGCCGATTTTGATAAAAATGTTGCTGTAACATCTAAGGCATATAAAAACCTTAAATACACAATTTCAGTTTCGTTGACTTTTCGTTTTTAAGCTAGGGTTGTCACGTACATATACACATACACACAGACCATTTTGCGGGACTTGGTTATTTCGACTCAGGAGACCTCAAAACATGTATTTCCATTGAACATTCAGATTCGAAAATTTTCACAATTGCAATACTTATCCCTTACTATATATTCCATATATAGGCTTTTCCTCATTGTTATAGCCTGGCAGGGCTTAATTAAAAAATTTTCAAAATGGCTTCATCTAAATTACTTTATATATAGTTTAATTGAAATAAATAAGACTCTTCTGGTTAGCATTAATAAAAAAATGGCTTAAAATAAACTAGAAAAGAATTTGATAATTTACAAAAGGAGAACAAAAAGAGACTGCTTGAAAGCCAAGTTGCGAAAATAAGATAAGTAACAAACATGTAAAATATATCGTTGGGTCATGAAAAAAATGGCATAGCATCACCAATATAAATTATTTTACTTGAAATTGAAACTTTTACTTCATTATCTACAAATTAAATTCAGAACAAGCCCAGCAACTGCCTTACTGAGGGAAACAGGAGAATCACCCTTGGACCATAGAAGAAAACTTCTCGTTCTTCGTTGTGCAGCAAAAATTCTGAGTAAGCCAGAGCACAATAATTTTGATATTCTGTACAAAGGTGATTTAAATGTTCCTAATGGTTCATAAATACTTAAAAGTCGAATTGAGCAATACTCCACTGATTATGAAATTACAACACAAATAAATATTATATCTCAGAAAATAAGAAATACCCCACCGTGGAGAATTCCATTAATCAAAAATGAAGTAGTACTGAACAATGTTCCAAATAACACTACCCCAGAAGAAATTAGACATAGGTATCATGAAATTGTCAATAAATTATTCCATAATCATGACATAATTCTTATGGATGGTTCAAAATCAGAGAAAAGTGTAGGATGCTGTATTGTAACCCAAAATAATATAGAAAAATGGAAATTAAATAACAATAATTCAATTTTTACAAGTGAAACGTGGGCGATTCTCAAGGCATTTGAATATGTAATCGACACCAAAATAGAGAAATCAGTAATTGTGACCGATTCCTTATCTGTAATCAAGGGACTGCAAAATACATGGACATGTAACACATTGCACAAAAAAATTCAGCTTATGAACTTGAAACTAAATAAAAATAGTCAAAAAATAACATTGTTTTGGGTACCCTCACACATTGGCATAAATGGCAATGAACGAGCCGATCAGGGAGCAAAGGAAGCCGCCAGAAGCACAGATTCACCTGTTTTAGGATCGATGTTTCTCAGCGAATGGGCAAGAGAAATATCAAAGAACGTGAACGACAGTTGGAATGCACACTGGAGATTACTGCCACCCAATCACCTTCATCTACCCATAGGTTGGTAACCTTCAAAACACCTGACATCAAAAGAATGCTCTATAATAAGCAGGCTCAGAATTGGACATACCAAACTGACCCATCTAGACCTACTTCTTGGCTTACATCGACCAACATGTGAGGTATGTGAAAATGCTAATCTGACAGTTGAACACATATTCCAGTGCAAAAAGTTCCGGAAACAGCAAATCGAACTCCAAATTGATGATAAGGCACTGTACAAAGAAAACACTGGTATTGAAAAAACGCTGAAGTACATTCGAAAAATAAAATTAATAAGTTATATTTAAGAAGAACAATCGTCGCTAATGACCCTGGCAGTCGATGCGACGTTAAAAAATAGCAAATAAAAAAAATTTAATATTTTCTTACAAAGATCATATTTTATAGCATAACACAACCATCAAAAATAAAAAATGCCTAAAAGCAATTTATGTGTCAACAAAAATACAAACAAATAACAAACTACAAACATATATCAAGTAGTTTTTGGGAATTAATATAAAAACCTTATACTTATACCTATTGTCCAGGAATCTACCCATGAGCCACAAAAAAAAATGATATGATTTTATTAGCCCCTATTTTTGATCATTCTACCCCTGAACCACAAAAAATAAATAAAATAAAGATCTGAATTTAATATTCTCAATTTTTACCAGAGATTGTGAACCAACCATGATGTTCTTTTCACCAAATCAAACAACCTGGTGGAGGAGAAGGGCCAGCAACAGCATAATCGTCCCAGACACAAAGTGAGTCTACAAAATTTCAGTAAAATTCACACCCTAATGTCCACCTGAAGCAAAGAAAGCACATAAACCATGCAGCCCATAAAAACAAAATTGTATTTTTTTATATCTCATTCATAATTAGCAGTGAAGGTAATTCACTGTTTGCTTCCATAGAGGTAGGCACCACTGCTCCTCAGCCAATATCAACGTAAACGAATATCTACAAGAGGGATGTGAGTTCTCATCACCACATTGGTATTCCATTCATTCAGTAAGATAACAGTATTTATTCACTATACAACCCAATAAATATGCAATTTTCATTATATATATATATACTGCCACTGGTGTTTTATCTTTTAATTCAAGTACCTTCCTTTCATTTATTTTATTCAATCTAATCGAATAAAACATTCAATCTCAATCGAATATGGCTTCTTACTTCCGCATTTCTTTTCTTCTAGTTGGTTGTTGAGAACTAAAATCAATTTAATTAATATGCCTAATTCTTTCATCGACTATCAAATTTGACAGTTTTTACTCAAAATCGCTCTCTCTGAGTGGAAGAAATTTAAGGTCATTTGGGAAGATCAGAAATCACTCCACTCACTGATCAATTCAGACTTTTCGGCTTAGACCGGGCTTGAAGTCTATGACATGGAAGACACTCTAAGATTTGTTTTCTCCCTGCCTTGCCTTATAGAAAATACGGGTTGTAGCAGAAGTATGCGTACGCCACTGCTGTCAGTATAGGTCTATTTAATTAAACTTTTGTTAACATTATTATTTATGAGGTGTATACTTGTTTGTGTGTACAAGCCCACAAACCCCACTTTTCTTTTCTTTTCTCCATTCTTCCACATGAAGCCGGTTCTCGAAGCAGCTGCAGCTTGTCCTAGCTTCCTTCTCGTCTTCCCAGATTAAAATGTGTAGGGCCTACCGCATCTTTCCACCCGTATACGAACTCCCTATAATGTGGCCAATTCTCTCTGTTCATTAGCTGGGGAAACATGCTCTCTGTCAGTGTATATCTCCCCGAATCTCTCAGGAGCTTGGCTCTTAGTGCCTCATAGACAGTACATTCGACGAACACATGTTCGGCGGTCTCCGAACGTAGCAGTTGGGGCATAGCGGATCTATATTCTTCTCGTGTTTAACCAGCTTCGCTCGGAAGCCCTCATGTCCCGTGAGGAGTTGAGACACCCAGTAATCCGGGAGGACCCATCTTGCATCTAATCGTGACTTGACCGTGGGGAAGTACTTTCTTAGGGAAGCTCC